ACCTGAAGAGTTTGGAATTCAATACCTGGCTACAGCAGAGGTGAACAAAACTTGGAGAATTGAGTAACTAAAGGGAAATAAATGAAACTAAGACATCCAGAAAAGGCATGATTGGCATATGGAATGACAACAGTCTATCTCAGTAGACTAAATAAAGGGTTCGCTTCAAAATTCCAATATATATCACCTGAAGAAGGCGCTATAGAATCAGAGTGTAGTATCTGTCCAATCTGACCTGAAATTAGTTATGTTTTTGAGAAATCTACATAATAATATTAAGTGGGAAAGAATTGTGAAAAGTGAGAGAGAAGAAGAGGGTATGAAGGAGGAAAAGTAGGAAAGAAAAATAGGGAAAGAATGATGGGGAGAAAGAGGGTGTGAAGGAGAAAAGCTAGGAGGTATTAAAACTACATCTGTCTATACTTCTGAGATGAGGTGTTGTAACTATTTACACTATTTACATTGTTCTTACTATTGTCCTCATCTTTATTGTTGTATCCACAACATTTCAGTCTTGCATGCTCTAACCTTCTTCAGGTGATATATGTTTGTTATATACCGTACCTATGAACACTAATGGGTATGTCCCAATCCTTATAAATATGTTGGACACTATTGTAAGTGGGGGTAATATGCTGTCTAAGTAGTTTGCTACTAGCAGTGGTTTACCTACTTCATACCGCTGGCGAGTGTTGTATTTAGTTGATGTTATAAAGATTACAATTTCCAACCTCCATTTTAGTTATTCCTCATTCAGTAACCCTTTCTAGGTTACAACAATGTTGAAATTTCAAACTGAACCCTTTCTTTAGTCCACTGGGGTAGATTGTTCTAGTTCCACATGTCATGCCTTTTCTGGATATCTCAGTTTCAGTTATTACTCTATAGTAATTCAAACTCCGAGTTTTTTGTTCATCTCTGCTGTGGCCAGGTATTGAACTCACAATTCTTTGAATCAAGTCACTGGATTACTTCAAACAATGCTTTTATCCACTGGGTCTTGGCAATATCAGTGAATTAACTTTTGGAACTTATAAACCTAGAGTCTTAGTAACATTTTTTTACCAAAGCTCATATTAAATTTTTTTTGTTATTGTTTTACTGTAACACTCTGTATTACTGGTTCCCATTTTGTATGCATTTCTATGCTTGGCCGGCTTAGGTGATTTTTGTGACTTAGCATATGTGCTGATTTCTTAAGTTTTTGTATTTTCCAGTGATGTCCACTGTCTATTATTTTCAACTTCATCCCACATAGGGTGGAGATCTCCTTTTTCCATCCATACAGTTTGAACAATGTAAATAGTGTGAATAGTAATAAAACTAGTGTAAAACAAAAAGAAAAGCAGGTGAAATGAAAACTTGATAGAAGGAATACATGGAGATGAAAGACAGGGAAACAGATTTGCTGGATGGATATCAAGAAACAATGAACAAAAGATTGACAGGCAAGTAAAAAGGTGAAAAGTCATAAAAATCACAATAAAAGTAAAAGAAAAAGTTCAAGGAAAGATTGTTGTTTTTCTGCAGTATTTCTTTCTTTTTGCATATGAAATTAATCCATGTTTGAAAATTTTAGATAACATGGGTGGGTAATGAAGATTGGAAGGAATAAGGGAGAAAATGAGAAGATACAGTCAAATGATGGAAGACAAGTAGAAGCAATGAGTGGATAAATTTTAGTTGTAAACACCTGTGGAATTTCCATTTGTCCAATTCTCAATAATAATAGGTAACCATCATCACAAAAAACACTTATAACAAGGTTATTGTTTTACTTTCACTTATTTGATAGCATAAGTTACTTGCATTTTCTAATAAAAAATTGATAAAAATATCTCAGTTATTGTAAAGTTCAGGTATTTGTCTCTCATCACTACCATTAAGTTGTCATGGTTTGGTCATGTCACATGGCATAACAGCCTCTGCAAGGCATTGTTGAAGGTGGCAGTGGCATGCAAAGGTTTAATGATGCCCAGGTCCAACTCCTTGATTGTATGCCCCTAAGACTTAAGTAGGGAGACCTATAGAGTCTAGTACTGAGAAATATGAGAAAGGAAGACATTTTAAATATGTAAAAACAGATGAAACATGAAATAAACACTTTATTTCAAATTTCAAAAAATAAATTTTTATTTCACTCTTTGATTGGATGCCTTCCCAATATGGATGCCCAGGGTCTTGCACCTTCTGCTCCCCACCCTACACACTATTGGAAAGTGTTCACAACAACACAAGAGCTGATCAGATTGCATCAAAAAGTAGATGGACAAGACAATGCTGGAACTCCAGAGAGTTACCACCAACAGATCATCCTCGAGGAGGTTGTCTGTTACTTTTGTCCTTAGGTACACCCTGATGATTGAAGCAGTCACGGGATTGATGATGACAATGATAATGATGAGGAGGAGGAGGTATTTAGTAAAACACATACTGACAAAACTGGACAATTTTTCTCTCTATTCATGCATTATGTTTTCATTCCTAGACTAGCTGGTTTTTAATCTGCCTTATCTTAAAAGTTTCAGAAGTGGTTTCAGAATTAATATTATGCATGTGTCTCAGAAGGCATTACCCCCTCCTTCAGGAGGGAACTTGGGTTACTAGCCAGTGTCTCAGCCATCGTCAAATGGGCAAGTGCTGAGGAGGCTTGAGTAATTTTTATACAGCTACCAAATCTCACTTTAAATCTGATCTTGTGTCACATTCTGTACAAGTTAGCATGCAGATAAAAACCTTCTTTCCTCATCCAGCTAGTGGATGAAAATGTAATATAATATGCTCCAGGGTGTTGTTTGCCCCTCCAGGCAATACCTCTAATTCGGAAGGTTAAATCTTAAAATCTGGGACATCCTCAGAGATGTACTGGGGAAGCTTAAGCAATTTTTATTCCTGGATCTATTTAAACTTGGGCTTCTGTCACATTCTATTTAAGTGGACATATAGATAAATATTTATTTGACCTTGTATCATATTTTGCCTTCAACCTGAGGCCAGGAAGTGAATAAATATACTCACATACTGTTAACTACATCGGTATTTGCCTAACTTCATAAATGTGGTGGTGGTGGTGGGGGGGGCAATATGGTAACAAGAGTACCTAGTAAATCATTTGCAAATGTAGTTTCCCTGTATCTTTTCCTTAAATACTTTCATAAACTTTTCTCTTTGGTAGATATGGGGACTAGTCCAGGATTTCATAGAGACTCTGAGGTATTTTGGTAGCTGTAGTAAAAATGGTAAGTAAGTATGTGTTGTTTTGGTGCAAGGAATAATGTAGTTTATGGATAGCTAAGTTTAAGATAAGACAGATTAAAAACCAGCCTTCCCTCATACCTCCTTTTGGCTTTGTGCAACATTTTTGTATTTTTCAAAATAAACATCACTTTCCTCTTTGGTACCTAGACTCTATGAATTTAAGGGCAGTACTAAATTGGTGGCAAGGTCTCGTCATTTCACAGTTGTAACTGCTAGATGTAACCGTAAATTCTATGCTAACAGTTTCTTCTATCACACTTCTCACTTTTGGAATTCTTCATGGCTTCTTGTTTCACAATCAACTTTGATCTTCAAAAAATTAAATGTGATGTCATTCGTTATCTTCTGTCTTCGTAATACTTTTTATTGTCCTCTCTCCTTAATAGTAGTTTTTCTCATATTTTCTAACACTCATTAACCCCATTGCATCCTAGTGGCTTTATTGCCTTGCTTGGGGGTGAAATGATTAAAAAAAAAAAATTTTGTTCATAAATTATTTGGTGCTCAGTGATTGCTGCCTTTTACCAGACTGAATCAAACTTAGTATTAACTACTTTAAGTTTCCTACCGTAAAGCGATAATTAACAAGGTAGTCTCGTAGACCATTCGCTGGTGTAAATTGTATCTCCATGAGTAACTTTATTAGTTTGCCTTGAACTGGACTAAGGTTAGTCCATTGCTTCTGAGTAGATCGTATTTTTTCAAAATCCCCTGCAAATTAGTGCCACCAAGCGACAATGAACTAAAAACCAAGGGCAGATAATTTTCCGTGGATGCGAAACAACGCTTGCTTTTCGCTCCGCTTGTGTCATTTCAATCAGCAGCAGCAATCGTGACAGTCAGTCAACATCAGGCAGCGGCAAGGCTTGATGTCGTTGACAACAACAGATGGAAACAACTAAGCCTGCCGGATACCCTGACTATCAATTGATACCAAATTTAATTCGCAGCAAATCCATGGACAATATTATTACCACCAGCAACCATAATTTAGACCACATCCTTTATTTTTTCCGTAATTCGAGTTTGGTGAGCCGTTATCGTCGCCACTAGTGAATTTCCATTCACTGGCTTCTATCGGCCACTAGTGGTCGTTTTAAGTTTCGGATATTGTTTTTATTGCGGAAGGAAAGTAAAGGTATTTATTTATTTATTTATTATTTACATGTTGAAGTTAAGAAACTGTGTTAATTTGGAAGAGGCTGATTTTTTAAGTCAGGTGTGAACTACAGCCAAATTTATTTTGTATATGAACGAAAACACCCTGGACATTTCCTGGATGTGTAATGGAAAAAAGGATTTTACATTTTACAGTACACATTGTCATGTAGATTTTTAAATTATAACATTTTTAACGTGTGCTTGCTGTTTTTCTTAATTTAATTTGCAAGGATATTGCTTATTTTTTTAAAATTTCTTGGCATAAGAAATGCAACTAACCCCAGAACAAATCCAACAATAAATAATTTCAAATCGCCCTCCGAACAGTGTGACTAAAAAAAGTAGTCATTACTCCATCCATCTTTTATTCATCATATATAAACATACTTCTTTCTATCCATCAAAATGGCTCGATCAGTATTGCTAATTTACGGCCGCATAGAAGCCCACCATGGACCTAGTATTTTGTAGTGTGATTATTTTTTTAGCCGTTGTGGATTCAACTTTGAAACCCATTTCTCCTGCTCTGATTGACCAAATGTTTCTTGGACCAAGTCTCTTTTACACTCAGCAACACCAATATGGCGCTCAAAAAGTATTTCTTTATAGTCGGACTGTTGTTCCAGTTTACGGCGATTTTCTTATGCACCCTTGCCGACAGCAACAACAATAATAATTCCTCGTCATCAAATGGCATTGACTGGATGAAGAATAAAAACATGGAAGCTTCTCCGTCTGCATCGCCCTCATCAGTATCCTGGTCAATGGTGGGGTCGTCCACCTGGTCACCTTCATCGTCCGTCCCGAGTGGTCTGGGTCCTGGGGGAACACAATCGGTCAAAACTCCTATCTCGTCCCCTAGTTCAGGAGATGGCCGAAGACCTAATAGCAGGCGAAAACAAGAGCGACATCGACAACAGAAATCTAAACCCAAGCAAAAACAACAATCAAACCCCGTAGTTTCAGACGATGAAGAAGATCCAACAAAAAAAGTTCCGGAGAAGGATAAAGAAACCCTTCCTCACCAACAGCAACATCCAAGGAGGGTGAAGGATCTGTATGATGATGGCTATTATCGGGACAATAGTTTGAGTAAACAAGAAGCTATCAACCCGAAGGATTTCGGAGGAATCATCATAGAACATCAGGCACAGCGCCTATCTGCGCACCTGAGGAGACTCACCAATGAGGAAATTGGAGTTACCACCATGCAGGTAAATATAAACATTAACACATGTCAATTTCACAATGACATGCATGCACCATCAGTTTCTCTTTTCTTCCTCGTTAAGGCTTTTATGAATTTATTCTATTTTCGCAGTTTGTATTTTCATCACTTTGCTACCAGCAGGCAATATCCTTTTAGTTTTGTTTGTTTGTCTGTCTAGATCTCTGTTCAGATCTATCTATCTACCTAGCTAGCTAGTAGTAGATTTATCTGGAACTATCTAATTATTAAATAGTTACTAGCCAGAATCTAGCTATAGATCTATCTATCTAGTTCTAGTCAGATCTCTAGTAGATCTATCTAGTTCTAGTCAGATCTCTAGTAGATCTATCTAGTTCTAGTCAGATCTCTAGTAGATCTATCTAGTTCTAGTCAGATCTCTAGTAGATCTATCTAGTTCTAGTCAGATCTCTAGTAGATCTATCTAGTTCTAGTCAGATCTCTAGTAGATCTATCTAGTTCTAGTCAGATCTCTAGTAGATCTATCTAGTTCTAGTCAGATCTCTAGTAGATCTATCTAGTTCTAGTCAGATCTCTAGTAGATCTATCTAGTTCTAGTCAGATCTCAGATCTAGTTCTAGTCAGATCTCTAGTAATCTATCTAGTTCTAGTCAGATCTCTAGTAGATCTATCTGGTTCTAGTCAGATCTCTAGTTCTATCTAGTTCTAGTCAGATCTCTAGTAGATCTATCTAGTTCTAGTCAGATCTCTAGTAGATCTATCTAGTTCTAGTCAGATCTCTAGTAGATCTATCTAGTTCTAGTCAGATCTCTAGTATCTAGTTCTAGTCAGATCTCTAGTATCTGGTTCTAGTCAGATCTCTAGTATCTAGTTCAGATCTCTAGTAGCTAGTTCTAGTCAGATCTCTAGTAGCTAGTTCTAGTCAGATCTCTAGTAGCTAGTTCTAGTCAGATCTCTAGTAGCTAGTTCTAGTCAGATCTCTAGTAGCTAGTTCTAGTCAGATCTCTAGTAGATCTATTCTAGTTCTAGTCAGATCTCTAGTAGATCTATTCTAGTTCTAGTCAGATCTCTAGTAGATCTATCTAGTTCTAGTCAGATCTCTAGTAGATCTATCTAGTTCTAGTCAGATCTCTAGTAGATCTGTCTAGTAACTAGTTCTTAGAATCTAGTTCTAGTAGATCTATCTAGCTGCCTAAATGTTAGTATCTAATTTATCTATAGCATTTGTTTGCTCTCTTTCTCTTAGTGGTCCTTCGTTTATTTTTGCCTTGTTTCTTTCACTTTCCTTCTCTGTTCTTAAAGAAAATAAAATTAATTACTTTGATGTTTTTATATCTACATATTTAATTTATTGCTTTTCATTTTTTTCCGTTCAATATATTTTATTTTTTGGATTGAACAAAAATGTGACAGTTGGTCTGTCGTTAACTAATCAGTAAAAGTAAATACACAATGAGTCAAGTCTTCTTCAGCTATATAACTTCTTAAACAAAAACATATAAAAAAACCTTCTTCCAATGTAGCAAAATGAAAAATTCTTTTCAAAATTGACCTTACTTCTCTATATTCTACAATATCCACGGATTCGTTAAGAAACGTTTATTTTAGTATAAACAATAGTCGAGTATTTTTGCCCTATTTTTATTGACGTCTAAAAAAATATCTTTCCAAAAATCGCTCATTGTTTTTAAATAGTCATTTCTTAAATGATTTCAAGTTACTTTACTATATTTGTAATTTTAAATATAATTTCGTTGACTACTGTCTCATAGTTGTAAAATTGCATGTGTGAACTGCCACAACCTTTTTAAAACATTTGAAATTATTTGTTTAGCTTATTCGATCATGGACCGTTGTATTTTTATTTTACCTTTTAACTTAAAGCGTATAAGTGTTACTGTAAATCTTTTTTCCTGTGTTACATTTTTATTCCTTAAAAAATAGAGAAAAAAAAACATGAAGCAGTATTTCTTATTTTTAGTTAGATTTTAAAAATCTTTTTTTTTTTTTTTTTTTAAACCTACGAAACCTTTCAACTTTCATAGATTATCATCACGCACTAATTACATTTTCATTTTTTCCTACATAGTCACCTAAAAAGTAAATAACAAATGAACATATTTAATTTGGTTCTTGATAAATGCTAAACAAAACTAGAAATTATTTTTAAATTTATTCTCATTTGATTTGATGATTTATTGTAAATTGCAAAATGATTTGATAAAAATGTTATATTGTTAGACACTTTGACTTAACCAAATTGTCCAAGCTTAATTTTAAATTCAATTGTAATCTCAAGTTAAAAAACCCTACTGCTTACATTTTAAAATGTTAGTTAAATGAATCTTTTTATCTTTGTTGAGACAGCTTACAGGCAGTAATGTTGATTTATTGAGTTTATTAAAAAAAAATTAATATAGTATAATTATCTAAAAGAATGCGTAATGCTTATAGTCTTATGTTAAATAATTTATGTCTTCACTGTTGGATGGCATGGTGCGATTCGACGAAAACGAGTGGACCGTCTGTAAATACTGTTTACTTGAAAAAGTTTGAAACCTTTTTTTTACGCATATTCCAAATTTATTATTGTGTTACTGTTATTGTTGTAGCTTGCTTATAACAATCGAGTTAGTGTATGTTGTTATTGTAGATAACTACTGGCCCGGGCACTGCTCACCATTGTGATGTAGTGTAGCAGGCTTCTTGTCCACTACCTGACCGTCACTGGCTATACACATGAACATTTCACTTAATCTTAATATACGAAACCAACCCTAGTTTATTTTCTTTTTGCCGTTTGTGAATTTAAATAATATTAAATTCCTGTTGATGAAATAATAAAATTAAAATATAACTTGTGAAAGTAACAGAAACTGATTTGCTTGTAAGTATTTTTATTTAAATATAGAACCTCACGATTTGGTTTTTTTTTTTTTTTGTCATTGGATTAGAAAAAGACTGATTCAAAACTCGTTTTTATTAAAAAGATAAAACATATTTTCCAGACAGAAACATTTGTGACTATTGTATTTTTTAAAATCAACGATTGATTAGATAAATAAAACGTTAAATAAATGGTTTTGTGTTGTTTATGGTTGAAGTAAGTAAGTGGAAAACGAAACGTATCTACATGTGTTCAGTTTATTAGCCAGTGGCATTAAGGTGGTCTCCTGGGCCAGGTACTTCAAATTCCCCTGTTCAGCTGGAATTAAGGCACATTCATTTTGTTTTGTAGCATACATTTAGTACTAGAAATCTAAATGTAGAGTTGTCCTAATAATCGCTGATGAGATTCGAACTCTTTATTTTGATTAAACATTTCGGTAGTTTTTTTCCCCCGTTGAATAAATTCTGCCACTTAAAAATATTTTCTAATCATAATTTCGAAATATGTGACTGTTGGATTTGTGCGTGCATAAAAATATAAAAAGAAAGGTTACTGTCCGTTTGTTGCAGAACTATAAATGTATATATTTAAAAAAATTAATTGTGATCAGATAATTATCTCAACAAAGGCCCCTGTTATTGTCTTTATTGAATCCCACTTTCCATTCATTCATCTTCTTGCTTCATTTATCTTAGAAGATTTTTTAACTCATCAGCAGTATCATTGAAATAATGCTTTTTTTTGTAGAGGTTATAGAGCTTTTTGTCCTGAAAGCACATAAAATATTTGTTTTTCATTTTTAAAAGTAATAAAACTAAATAGTAGTCTTTAAATAATAATAGGCTTTTCAAAGTTAAGCAGATCTAAATATTTGTTGGAAAGTAGTCTTATTGGATATTTTAAATCCCTTGGTTTTTCTCTGCTTCTCCTCAAAAGATATTTTAAAAATCAACAAATATCTTTTTTCGAAAATTTAAAAAATAAAATAAAAACATCCCTTTTTCTTTGTGTAGGTACTTTTTGTTTGAAGATTATTTACCTTTCTTTTTTAAAAAATATTAATACAAACTTTATTGTCCTTGAAAAATTCATTTTATTTTTAAATTAAACTGTAGAATTTTTTTTTATTTATACTCCACATGGATGTTTGTATTTATTTGCAAAAATCAATCTTTGTCTTTTTTGTTAATAACTGACAGCTGTTACTGAAATCTGATATTTTAAAAAATTAATTTCATTGTTTCATTCATTAATAATTAAATTTTGCTATGGATTTTCTTATTTGAAAGGGAAAAATGAAGTAACTTACATAACTGATTTTGTGCTCAAACATTAAAAAAAGTGACAGTCATTATTATTTGGGATGTATTGTGGGGATTTAAAAAAAAAAAAAAGGTTCCAGAAAAAACACCAAAAAGAAAGATTAATTAATGACAATGTTTTAAAAGGTTAAAAACTGAGTCTTATATAGATGATTTTTTTTTAAAGGGACTAATATTGGGAAATGGAGTATTAGTTTGTTTTTTTTTATTTACAAGAAAAAGGCTAAAATTTGTGATGGAATTGAAAGCCTGAGAAGGAAAGATACCTATTTTGGAACATTCACTAACTGCTTATTTCGCCAGGACAGTGCAAAGCATTGTGGGTATCCCTGGATCCCATGTGTTGTCTGAAGAAAGCCATTGCAAAAAAAAAAAAAAAATAGTACTGGCATTATTTATTTTATTTATTTATTTTTATGAACAAAAATATCTAACTTTGTTACATGGTTTGCAGAACAATATTATACCAAAAAATATCACTGTATAAAAAAACCCCCAAAAACCCATAATTAATAAATACTTTTCTTACCGGTGTAAAATTAATAAAAAAAACTGAAATGTTAATTTTTTTTTTTAAATGATTTACTACTGAAACAAGTGTTTTACTTTTATACAAGTAAAACAACATTTGAGCTATTTATTTTATAACAATAAAAACATTTTTTTTTATTCCTGAATGAAAGTTTTAAATACAGGCTATAAAAATTTTGTTTCAAGAACCACTAACTGCAATAATTAACCCTATAGACATGTTTTTTTTTTGTTTTCTTTTTAAATATTTAAGCTGAGTTTTGTTTGACCAATGCCATTTTC